CGTCCTCCAAGCTGCTGACGCAGTACTTATGTTGTTCAAACAAATTGTAGCGTCACACACTTCCCCAAAATCAATAGCCTAGGGTTTGACGACTTTCGACATTGATGCTGACCCTGATAGTTTAACTGGACTCGCTAAGCTGAAGGTACCCGGTCAAGCATCCTCGCCATTTGGCACGCTGTCGTGTTACGTTGCACTGCTCGTATCATACTCTCTAGCCAGTTAGTTGGAACGCATCGGTATCTTGGCACAGCCATCCAAATATACTATTCCATCCGACTACACTATTGTGTTCTTTCTTGGTCTCGTATTCGTGGGTATATAACAAGTTCAAATAATTAGTGATTGGTCTTTGCGTCTGTCAAGTTCGCACCAGGACAAATCCTAAATTGGTGAGCCCGACGTGATCAAATATCCTAACGTGATCAAATATCCCGACGTGATCACATATCCCGACCAATAACAGGTATTGAATTGGTGAGCCTGTTCCATTTTATATTTGTATATTGTTTTCATTTCAATAACATTTACATATCCACTTACTACACTTTCTCATGTCCGACCACACTCCCAAGCTTATTCGTATTAAGCCGACTACGAATACCATCCAACTCGTGCCATATTGGTCAGACAATGCAGAAACATGGTTTCTGCATGCCAAGGCCGATTTTCGAGAACAGGGCGTCTCAGATCCTCATTCTCGATTTCTTGCTGTCATACGTTCACTACCACGAGAATTAAACGGGTATGTTACAGCACACATGTTTAATCCTGAAGTGAGTGATCCTTATGCACTTCTCAAGGCCGCACTGTTGAAGAAAAGCGATCTCACAGATCGCCAACGTCAAGACGAATTGCTTCGTAACATTGAGCTAGGCAGCCACTCAGCTAATGAAGTCCTCGCACGCATGCGAGAAGTAATCGGCGCACGAACATTCGACGATGGCCCTTTCCAATAACTATTCCTCTCAAAACTACCGCAACCGGTGCAAACCGTGTTGGTGACACTGCAGTCAGTTCCACTCGATGACCTGGCAGCCTGGGAAGATAAAGTACTGGAGATTTCCGACAGACCCGTCTCCAACGTATACTCTGTCTGCGGCAAACCGGAGAGCCAAGATTCAGAGTTGACCAAGCTCTGCAACTCTGTTAAACAGTTGCTACGATCTCGAAGTCCTAGGTCACGTAGCACACCACAGAAACGCGTCTTAGTGCATGGCAGCAACTGGCGTGGTTGCCATAAAACTAAACCTAACAAGGAGGAAAACCCTAAATGGTGTTGGTAAGAAGATGAAGCCAGAAAATATCGGAAACCATGCAGTTTTGGCATTGACACAAATTCGGGAAACGGTCACACCGGCACGTGTTCATAGCAACCGTGGCCAGTGGAAACATCCGTTTGCCCTACTTCACGGATACAAAAACGAAAGTTCGTTTACCTCATCGACACTGAGCAAAGGTTGACGTTCTTCTCACACCGACAAAGCAGCGTCATCATGACCCGTCCTTCAATTTCCAAGCAGCCAATGGTGAGGCAATCGCGACATTTGGGGGACGGTATGCCTACCTCAACGTAGGTTTACGCAAACCTATCCACTGGATTTTCCTCCTGGCTGACGTCTCTATGCCCCTCATTGGTATAGATTTGCTAAACCATTGCGACCTACTCGTAGATGCTCGCCGTCGACGACTGATAGATAACAACATAAAGTTATCTATTGGCGCCACCACGTATGTAGGTCAGAGTTTAGAATCAAACAGTCAGGCGACGCGTCCCGCCAAGCAGTTTTGGAGAAATATCCAGAGTTGTGACAACTGAAGTACGCTTCCGTGCACAACCAGCAATGTTATCCATCACGTCACAACCACAGGTCCACCTGTGGCATCTAAAGCACGCCTTCTGGCCCCTGATAAGCTTAAAACGGCGAGAAGCGAATTCAATCGCATGCTCGAACTGGGCATAATCAAACCATCAAGCGGTCTTTGGGCATCACCACTGCACATGGTTCCCAAAAAGGATAGCAACGACTGGCGTCCAACCGGTGATTACCGAAGGACTAACGCCAGGACGACATCAGACTGCCACCCGATACCCCACGTTTACGATTTGACTGCGACGTTATGCGGAATGAACATTTTCTCCAAAATCGATTTGGTTAGAGCGTACAACTAGATACCTATGGCAGCAGAAGATATCGCGAAAACAGCCATCATTACTCCTTCTGGCCCGTTTGAATTCCTGCGCATGCCATTCGGTCTTCGGAATGCAGCACAAACGTTCCAACGCATTATGGATGGCGTCTTCCGTGGTTTGAGCATTGTTCATGTCTACATCGATGACTGTCTAATTGCGAGTCCAGGTAAGGAAACTCAACTTAAACATTTGGACCTCGCATTCCAAAGATTAAAAAACATGGCATAACAGTCAACTTATAGAAGTGTGAAATGGGAGTTGAATCACTCAGCTTTCTTGTGCATATCATTGACAACAAAGGTATACGCCCATTGAGAGATAAAGTGGCGGCTATCACAGACTATCCAGAGCCGACCACTGTGAAACATCTCCGCACTTTCAATGGCCTGGTAAGTTATTACCGAAGGTTTATCCCCAACTGTGCCTCTGTCATGAGACCACTAACAGATCTACTTCGAGGAACTACGAAGTTCGTGCCTCTGGGCAACGTGGCTAGATTTGCTCTTCCTAAAGTCAAGGACGCCATTTCAAACGCAACCATGCTCATGCATCATGAACCCAATGCTCCTTTGAGTATTGCCGTTGATTCATCTGACTGAGCAGTTGGAGCAGTTTTGCAACAGTTGGCTGACAACCAGTGGCAACCATTGGCCTTTTTCTCGAGGCGGCTGCAAGACGTGGAAACAAGGAACAGTACATCTGACAGCGAACTCCTAGCTATGTGCTGTTCTGTACGCCATTTTTGACATTCTGTGGAAGGTCGTGATTTCATTATTTTCACGGACCACAAACCGTTAACCTTTTCCCTCAGCCTGGCGTCTGACAAATACTACCCGCGTGAGTCACGGCAACTGGATTACATTTTCCAGTTCACGTCAGATGTCCGCCACATTTCTGGAGCAAGTTACTCCGTAGCTGATGCACTATCTCGAATAGCTTCGATAAATCATGTTGAGGACACTGATCTCGTTGAACTAGCTCGGCATCAAAAGGGAGACCTTGAGCTGCATCATGGGTTGTCGTCCACAACTCTCAAGCTGTGACTTCGTCCGGTTGGATCGGACGAGGACACAACTTTCTGTGATGTCTCTGCTAGTCAACCACGCCTAATAGTTCCGAAAAGATGTCAATGCAGCGTCTTCAACACGTTGCACAAACTCTCTCATCCAGGTGTACTAGCCACCATTAGGCTTATCGCACAACGCTTCTGCTGGCCTGGGATGAACGAAGACGTTAAGAAGTGGGCCAAGTTGTGCTTAGCCTGTCAAAAGTGCAAAGTCACGCGGCACACGAAAAGCCCTTTAGGCTTTTTTCTAGCCCTAGACATGCTCTTCGACCACGTCCATACAGATATTATAGGACCCCTACCAGAATCTAATGGATTCACCTACCTTTTCACTTGTGTTGATCGTTTCACACGATGGCCAGAAGCAGTACCTGTTAAGGATATCACTGCTGAAACAGTAGCTAGTGTTTTCGTGGAAAGATGGATCGCGAACTTCGGATGTCCATCTTATGCCACAACCGAC